ACAGTAGCTGAACTACAGAATCCACCTGGAGAACCTGGGCCTGGTGGTGCATGCCTATAACCCCAGCATTCGGAAGGCTGAGGCAGGAAGACTGCTGTGAGTTCGGGGCCCTGGGCTCTATAGTGAGTTCAAGAACAGTCTGGACTCCATAGACCCTTTCACAAACAAACAAACAAACAAACAAACATACACAGAAACCACCTGGATGACCACTAATAGCTGAGTGGGTAAAGAAAATGAGGGGCTGGGGATTTAGCTCAGCGACAAAGCGCCTGCCTGGCAAGCGCAAGGTCGTGAGTTCGGTTCCTGGTACCGGAGAAAAACCAAAAAAAAAAAAAAAAAAAAAGAAAGAAAATGTGGTGTATATACACAATAGGATATTGTTCAGCCATAAAGAAGAATGAAATTATGTCATTTGCAGGAAAAATTGAAAGTTAAATATTGGATATTTTCTCTTATATGTGTAACCTAAAAAAATAAGAGCAATGACAGGAAACTGAATGTAGATTTTTGGGGACGAGGAAAGGTATTGAGAGAGGGGTAAGAAAAGAAGCGGGGGGTTACTGGGATGAAAATAATCAGAATACACTCTGCATGCACCAACGCACCAAAATGAACCTCACTACTCTGTGTTACTAATATGCACTGAAACAAACAGAAAACTGGGCAAAGAATCTAAACAGGCATTTCTCCAAAGAAGACATGAAGCACCCACTGAGCACACAAAAAGATGCATAACACGCAAAGATGCACAGCATCGCCAGGCACCGGAGAAATAAAAACCAGTCTGACACTACTTCCCTCCCCCTATGATGATAAAAACAAAAGACAGACAATACCAAGTATTGATGATGACATGGAGAAACTGGAAGCCTCAAATCTTGCTGAGAGTGCTGTAAGTACAGCAGACTTTGGGAAAATCAGCCTCACAGCCCCTCAAGACGTTAAATACGGAGCTACCACAAGACTCACAGACCCTACGTCCAGGTATGCAGCCATGAGAAATGAAAACTTCATGTTTACACAAAAGCTTGTATACAAATGTTCACAGCAGCAGTATTCACAGTAGAAAAAAAGGGAACAGCCTACATATCCATCAATAGATGAGTGGACTAACAAACTGTGACATATCCATGTAACAATATCATTTGGTAATAAAACAAAGTACTAGTGTACGCTACAACCTCAAGGAACCTTAAAGAGAGCATGCTACAGGAAGGAAGCCAGTCACAAAAAGCTTCCTTGTATGATTTCATTTATATGAAATGCACAGAACAGGCGAATCCACAGAAACAGAAAGATTTGTAGTTGCCAAGGGCCAGGGAACGGGGAACTTAAAAGCTACGGAGATTCTCTCTGGGGAGATAAGAAATGTTGTGAAATCAGACAGTGGTGATGGTTACACAGTCCTCCTAACCCTGTTAGGCTACAGCCATCACTGATCCCTGCTTTAAAGCACCATTTTCAAGAGAGACTCACAAACTTACACACAGTGTAGACTTTACAGTCTGGTCCACAGAATCATTAATGGGTCACACATGTAAAACAATGCACAGAAGAGAAATCTGATCTTCCAAATCAGGGGTAAGAAAAAATGCATAGGGGAGGTGAAGAAGGAGCCCTCAGCTGGAGGGCGCTGACACGGGGTTATTTTATGTTTACATAGCCTTCCCCGGACTAGGATGCAGGTCAGAGGTCGGAGACTGATACCCAGCTCTGTCTCTGGAACTTACTACACAGTGCTCAGAGCCCGGCAGATGCTCATTTGTTCGTGGACCATTCATTAAAAACTCAATTGTTCTATTGTATTATTGAGTTACAGGAGTTTTAAAACTCACTCTGAATATAAGTCCTCTGCCAGAGACCTGTCCTGCGGATATTTTCTCTCAGTCTGGCTCAGTCGTTCTGAGCCTGCCCCGAATCGCTCTCTTCAATCTCGGCGGCCTGACAGCCAGGGGGAAGCACCAGGATGCCTCTGTCTCACAGCTGTGTGGGCAGCGGCCCCCTCCACGGTGTTTTTGTGGTTAGCGGGCGTTTTTAATGATGAAGTCCAAATTTATCATGTTTTCTCTTTAGGGTTAAAGTTTTCTGTATCCCAAGAAATATCTAACCTAAGATCATACAAAATTTTCCTTTCTTTCTAAAAGCTATATGGCTTTAGCTTTTACGTTTACATTATGTCAGATTTTACTTTAGGTGCCAAGCTCTCTTCCTGACCGAGTTCACAGTCCGACTGTGTGCTGTGTGTCCTGGAACTGTGGACTCCTTCTTGATCTTATGCAGCCGGGGCAGTGGCGGGGGCTCCAGATGACCCAGCTGGCAGCTACACGGGAGTTCTGCAGGCGGCTCCTCACAGTCTGGACCTGTGCCTTGCCCTACACCCTGCACACTGTTGAGAAAGCACATTTTATGTATGTCGTATCTCAGTGATCCTCACACCAATCCACCAAAACAAACACGGTCATCCTCATTTTAAAAAATAAGAGAAGCAACACCCACCCAGAAAGGTGAAGTTACTGGGTTACTCTGAGCAAATAACAATTTAGATGGGGCCCAGGAATTCTAACTTTCAAACTTTTTTCTTCATCAGTTAAGAAAGTACCGAGAGGCTGGGCGTGGCAGGACGCGCTGTAAGCCCAGCATTCTGGGAGGGACCAGGCAGAGGGACGTCAGCTTTGAGCATAGGTTGGCCAATTTAGCAAGACCCTGTCTCAAAACAGAAGAGAGCTGGGAAGAGTCGATCCCCAGCAGTTCCCGACCCCCAAACACTGAGAGAAGATCCTGCCTTTGAGTCGATTTAAATACCACAGAAAACACGTGCTGCAAGCATATCTAAGACTTCCTTCCTGGAAGTGAGCTGTCCTGTATCAAGACAAGCGGACACCACACCGCTGTCCACAAGCTATGTGAAGGTGAAGAGAAACACTGAGACGAGCTCATGCCAGGCTCTTTCTGTACCCCGATTAAACGGAGAGACTTGGAAGATGAGGCTGGGGAAGCAACAGAGGATCCAGAAGAAGAAGAAAGTCCAAAGACCTCGGGAAGTGAACCTCTAGCTTTGTCTGCAGCACAGACAGCGGTGCAGTGGGCTCCGCCAGCATGAAGCAGTCAAATCTCGCGTGAGTCCTCTTCCTGGACCTAGTCTCAAAGGAGTATCCCGGGGCCACCATAATAATGCTCTTTACTAGGCGGATGTACTCAGATCCCCCTTAATTCTACTACATCGCTGTCATCCCCGCTTTACAGGGAGGAACACAGGTGTGCAGTGTTTGAGTGGTGTGTGCACTGTTACACACGGAGATGGGACTCAAACCCACGTCTGCCCAATTCTCAATAACCTTCCAAACGGAAAGCACGGGGCCACTGCCTCTTCGGCAAGTCCTGGATACCCCACTGCTCAGAGCAGCTGTGTCCTACCTTTCCCGAGCGGGCCCACACTGCAGCCTCCACTTATGCAGGCAAAAATACTCTCTCTTCTCCAAACCACCCCTGGCTCTCACAGCACTCAAGTCCTGCCTCCTGCCCCTCCCGGCCAGTCCCCAGCCCTTCCGGGCGCTCGTGGTCCCCAGGCCCCTTCCCTCTGCCTCCTCTCACATCCCTAGAGCTTCCCGGGAACTAACACTCCCGCACTGTCTAGGGTGCCCTTTAACCACTCGTTTGCACACTGAGAGAAGGCTGTCTCCCACGGTCGCGCTTCTGCATCGTCCACCAAGGGGCTTAATGGAGGCAGGAACTTGTGGACTGCTCAGCAAAAGGCCAGCTCTGGGCACGAACAGACGGCCTCTCCGGTCTTTGGGCGGCAGTGCTCCTCTGCCAGGCACAGAACCCACCCCCTCTCGTTCTGGCCTCCAGAAGGAAGACAGGGAAGACCTGGCTCTCAGCCGCTATTCTACGGAAATCTGACCTTGACCTGAGCTCCGGATGAGAAGCCTCGCGGGCCTGCCAGCCCTCTTCCCGACTGGGCTTCCTCTGCGGCAGGACTGAGCGGAACAGCAAGAGGTCCGGGAGTGGCACCTCGGCTGATGCTCAGTTCTGCTAAGAAGCCGGATCTATGTACGAAGACCGACTGCAGCAGGGCCGCTGCTCTAGGCGGTGCAATGCCACGGTCCCCGCACACTGCAGGGCATCTCGGCGGACATTCCTGCTCCACCCCACTGCAGCCCCAGAAGACGCAGCACGTGCGTCCGTGTGCATGCACGACGGCGCACACAGGGCGAGGCTGCCCGGCCGCGCCTGGAGCTGCGGCGGCCTTGGAGGGCTCGTCACAAACTCAGCGTAGCTCTAGGGGGTCTCCGCCCCGCGGGACGTGGACCGCAGCCCCTGCGGGCGCTCCCTTAGACATGCGCAGGAAGGAAGGCGGGCTGCTCGCTCCGGCCGAGCCTCCCGCCTGGGTGCGCCGTGTCAGGCCGCCTCCCCGCCTCTCTCTGAGACAAAGCCAGCCCTGGAGGGCGCCGGGGCCCGCCCAAGCCCCCCCGCCCGGGCGCCGCGGACGGCTCCCTCCGTCCCTTCCGCCCGGGCTCACCTTGGCAGTGCCGCAGGCGCCGGCCCAGGCCGCAGGACGGGCCGAGTCCGGGGTCTGACTTGTGCTAACACAATGGCATCCTCGCTGATGCAGGGAGGCTGCGCAGTGCCGGCGTCTCCCCTCCGCGCCGGCTGCGGTGACGTCGCCGCGGGGGGCGGGGCGGCCGG